ATTTACATTCGGTGAAATAACAAAGAAGATCAAACATTGGCGAGTCGGAGGAAAGGAGCGCCGGTGACGGGTCTGTCACATGTAAATATTTGGCCTGTCCGTCTATAACATCCTCCGGGGAGAGGTGAGGCGGCGCTGTGACATTACAGGCGACTTCTCCCGGGTACGTCTGAGGTGTGAAGGAGAGATGAATCCAATGATAAAATATCAGAATCCCAGGAAGCCTCTAAATCCGACCTTCTAATTAAAACCTTAATTTGATTCATGTCATTGTAACTTATTACAGGATCCCTGAACTTCTATAGAAGGTACTGTTATCATCATCCACCCCCTTCTGACCTAAGCCAACCCCCCCACCACACCGCTGGTGTATACTCATCTCATGCTGGGGGGCCCCACATGAATCTTCAGGGCCTCCAGACAAAATCTTCTCTCTCTCCTGGCTGCGCCTGTGGAATCCCATTGACTTCTATGGGGCTCCCTCCTGATACTGAGATCAGGTCCATTGGATAGGTAGCCCACTGGTGGTAAAGGGTTAATATGGAGATACACTGACCTGCGAGGGACTTGCTGGGTAGATTGGGACATTTCTAATGACATGTTTCTGCACGCTGTCACATTTGTTATCTACACCGATCAGCCATAACATTATGACCACCCTCCTAATATTGAGTAGGCCCCCCTCGTCCTGGCCCGTCCAGGCAAGGATTCCACTAGCAGTGGCGTCACAAGTGTTATCCACGTCACCTCTCATTGGTCACAATGTTCTGGCTGGTCGCTGTGTGAGTGATACATTGTATCATTGTGTTTGATGTGTTGCCTTCCATATAATTTGTATCATTTTAAAAGCCGAAAGTTTATCTTTTTGTCCCTGATTGGCTGTGTTGTCCGTCGCACGGCTCTTCTCTTTAATTGGTCAGAGTTCTCCTTTACCTCGGAGGTCCGTGGTTCCGGGGGAGCTTAGTAAATGACGCGCTCCCGGGGAGGTTCGGCGCGCGGTACGTATTAGCGGGAACAGCTGGAGCTGGCAGGCCGGCGATCGGGAGGCACATGTTCAAAGCGCTGTGCTTTGATGGAGGTCGGCGCCGCGCTGGGTAATTGGATTTGTGCGCAGAGCGTCTTGCGAGTGCGTTCTGTGTTTACCCCGCCAGCTACTGACAGCGCGGAGGAGTTCAGCCGTCGCAGTTAATTAAAAAAAAAAAAAAAGCCCTGGCTCCCTCCGTCTGCGCGCTGCTTTTAAACGGCCCTCCCGCACACCGCGCGGCTCTCACGTATTTGCTGTTCTTCCCGGCAGGTTGAAGACTAAGACGTCGGCCAAGTACGGACTTCCCCACCAGCCACGGCTAGTGGATATCATCGCCGCCGTGCCTCCGCAGCACCGCAAGGTCCTCGTGCCCAAGTTAAAGGCGAAACCCATCCGCACTGCCAGCGGGGTAAGGTGCTGAGCTCGTCCTATAGGCCGGGTACCATTCAAGTGTAAAATATTGCAGCTCATCGGTCCTTAGATGTAAATACATTAATGATTCCCGTCCTAGGGTGACAACACTCACTCACCATACTCAAGAACCAGCGTTGTCACCCTAGAACAGTAGGAATGCACCGATAACAATACTAGTATCGGTATCGGTGCCGATACCGAGTATTTGGGTGAGTACTCGTACTCGCCCAAATGCTTAATCTCCAAAGCTGAACTTCAGGCAAACAGATGAAATACATATATGGTAACTGTCTGGCCCGCCATCTGTATTTCTGTCCATCCAGTCCTGATATCTGCACAGCTCTTGCAGGAGAGGAGACCTGATTTTTGCCTCACTGCAGTTAAGTAACACTTACAGGTCTTGCACCTCCCACAACCTGTGACTGGGCAGTGAAAGGTGTACAGACTGATGAGCTCATCTCGCTGTGACTCTGCTTTCTCCTTCTATCAACATGTTGCTTATTAGCATGTGAGCACTGAAGCACAGATGGTGAAGCAGCTTTTACTACACCCCGTGACACCATCACCAGGCTTGTAAAGTGCACGCAGGGGCAGCTGATGTTGGGTCTGTTCCTACTGACATTGGCGCACCTCCGGAACTACATCTCCCAAGAGCCAGTAAAATGCAGGGTCCACTCAGATTGCCTGAGCCCCCTCCCCCTTTACAAACCACCAAGATGTAAAATGCACATGTAAAGAGAAAAAGAAAAAAAAAAGAGAAAAAATGTGATTTGCATTGGTGGCTAGTGGAATATTGCCCCCTTATATTGGTGGTCAGTGTAGGTGGGAGATCATTGCATCTCTGCTCACTACTCGAGGATCTCTTGGCCGTGCCAGGAGGACCCATGGTTGAGAGAGGCTGGTGTTAGTGGACTCCGTATTTTACAGCCAATACAAAGTAATGTATAAAACATACATTTTTGAAGGATTTGTCGGCCATCTTTTATCCTCGCATTGAACCTTCTTGTGTTTCCTTACAGATTGCGGTGGTCGCCGTCATGTGTAAACCCCATCGCTGTCCTCACATCAACTTCACCGGGAATATCTGTGTGTAAGTGTAGAATACGTTGTGCTTGGGGGGAAGGCCGGGACCTGGGAGGCAAACAACACCAATTGACCCTTTTTATGGTAAAGACGGTTCCCTGAGCTAAAGAAAGTGCAACAAAGGGGTCTGATCATGAGAAATAATTGCATTGCCGTTCATCTAGCGCAGGGGGGCCCTGCAGGTCGATCGCCATCTATCAGTTGTTCTCAAAGCTAACACTGGAAGAACGCGATCACTAGCCGGCTCGCTGTTCCGAGCTCCCTCTCGCAGTGCTAGTGCGGCTGAATCCAGCGTCTGACACATTCAGCCGCACTAACACCGCGGGAGGAGGGGACAAGGCCCCGGGGAGGAGGGGACAAGACACCCTCCCCCAAGACCCACCGTATTCAGCCACTGTGAAGGTATGAGGGCAATAGCCAATCATTTATTCATGGCAGCACTAGGGCAATACAGTATAGCTTGACTTCACAAGGAAAAAGTTCGAGGAGAGACAGCCAGGAAAGAGCGAGGAGAGACAGCCAGGAAAGAGCGAGGAGAGACAGCCAGGAAAGAGCGAGGAGAGACAGCCAAGGAAAGAGTTCGAGGAGAGACAACCAGGAAAGAGCGAGGAGAGGCAACCAGGAAAGAGCGAGGAGAGGCAGCCAGGAAAGAGCGAGGAGAGACAGCCAGGAAAGAGCGAGGAGAGACAGCCAGGAAAGAGCGAGGAGAGACAGCCAGGAAAGAGCGAGGAGAGACAGCCAGGAAAGAGCGAGGAGAGACAGCCAGGAAAGAGCGAGGAGAGACAGCCAGGAAAGAGCGAGGAGAGACAGCCAGGAAAGAGAGTGAGAGTCTTCCAGATAGTCTGAACATTCTTTCCCAGGCAGTAGGCGGAGCTCTAGGTTCACGATCCACTTGTTTTCCCAGACTCTCCGTATCAATCAGATGGAGATGGTCCGAAAGTAAACGGCTCCTGCTTTGCCCTCTATGTACAGAACCCATGGTGTCAATTCAACAGGGGGACAGGGGGAGGAGCTAGATGTAAGAGATTCTTCCTAATGACTCATATCTCTGTAAGGGCCATATCTTTTTCAGGAGAAGGAAGTGAGGACCAGCGAGTGTTGAAGTCCAAAAATGTTAATTCCAATAAAAGATGAACGTGTGCATGTGCAGCCAATATGTTCTGGGAGCTCTAAAGCTCCCCCTTCATCAGGGCCGGGATTAGTATAAATACATATAGGATGGAAAATCTGAAATAATGTCGTTCTATTGATTTTCTGTCCCTAGGTACTGTCCTGGTGGTCCAGATTCTGATTTTGAGTATTCTACCCAGTCTTACACAGGTTATGAGGTGAGTACGTGTTCCTGCAGAGAACCCATAATCCCGAACCATAAAACTGTGGAAGACAATCCGTTATCAAAGTATAAAAGGAACGGCTGTAGGTATAGAGTGCAGCAGCCTTCTCCCGGAGAGACTCCTCATTGATGTTCCTCAGGACAAGGAGATCTCATACACATGTTCTGGAGATGACCAACATTGACCCGATACCGCCATAGAGCGCTTGATGTTATCCACCTGCATTCTACCTTCACTACCCACCTCAGCCTAAGGTGGGCCTCCTGGGGACCTTGGAGCTTCCCTCTGTGACCCTTATCTGGAGATTACCAGAACCCTATATCTGGCCAAGAAGACTATTACACAGTATTGGCTTTCTCCTCAACCCCCGGCCACACATCCCCCTGGATAGGAAAGGTTCATTCTATTCTGCACTTGGAGAACCTAACCTATGCAGGTAGAGTAGCCCTCAGAATGTGAGAAGATGTGGCATGGGTGGCTGGGCGAACCTTCACCCCCGCTCTAGTCACCAATAGATTTTGGAGATCCCAGCCATTAGGATAGATAACCGGTATGCCATATACCATGTATGATTGTACTGAACACTGGACCCAATGGGGACCACATGGACAATGGTTAACCTTTAATTATATTACAATCCTTTATCTCTTGTATATCTTACCTACAATTGTATTGTGATGGTGGTAGACTTTTCGGAGATCCTGGCCATTAGGACAGATAACTGGTATGCCACATACTATGCATGGTTGTACTGAGTACTTGACCCAATGAAGACCACGCGGACCACAGTTAACCTTTTATATAGTCCTTTAATACTGTATATCTTGCCTACAATTGCACCATCATGGCTGTAGACTCTTCAGACATCCTGATCATTAGGACAGATAACTGGTATGCCACATACTATGCATCAAATTGTACCGAACACTTGACCCAATGAAGACCATATGGACCATGGTCAACCATTCATTAGAGTAAATCCTTTATCTGTTGTATATCGTACCTACAATTGCACTGTCATGGTGGTAGACTCTTTGGAGATCCCGGCCATTAGGACAGATAACTGGTGTGCCATATACTATGTATCAAATTTTACTGAACACTTGACCCAATGAAGACCAAATGGACCATGTGGTCTCCATTTTTTTTTCCCTTTGTATTGTGAAACATCAAAGCCTTGAAGAACATTGTTCTTGTTTAATAAAGATGACCTCACTGAATAATCCTGGGAGGGGTCATGGGTAGAATGAGTGAAGATCTGAAGACTCTGTTATTTCTTGTGGCCCATTTATATAAACTGGTGTTTTTTTTTCTGTGCAGCCGACATCAATGCGGGCGATCCGTGCTCGCTACGACCCCTTCCTTCAGACACGGCATCGAGTGGAACAGGTACCATTTTGTTGTTTAGAATATTTATTTTTTTAACAGAAAATGTGTGGACATACTGCATGTTCCGAGGTCTATCTCTGCTGAGAATGAAGTGTCTATTACATTACAGGGGTGCCCACACTTTCTGTGTTAAAGGAGAACTATGGGGTTAAGGCGCTTCCCCATAGTTCTCCTAAGGGTAACGAGAGGACACAAACTAGCGTCCTCCCATCACCCAAAGCTTAGTATATAGAGAGCCACAGCTCACGGTATACTTTTAGCCCTGAAAGGTGGATGCTGATTGGTTGCCATGGGGAACTGCTCCAGATTCTGTCTGCTCCAGTATTGATAAATTCCCCCCATTGCCTTTTACATTGTGACTATTTTATGCTTGGGTTCACGTGGCGCCATCCACGGGTCATTCCAGCACCCATTTGAACATATTGGGATTCCGGTCTGGAGTGCGATGGGAGGTATGCTATTATAGTTTATAAATAGACCCCTGTATCTGCTTCCATTTTTATTGAAAGATGCCAATAAATGGGGAAAGTAGTAAAAAAAAAAAAGTGCATGAGGTGTGAGTAGACGGTGTTAGGGTCCTAGGCTGCTGCCTCGGATCACCATGTAGGCATCGCTCATTGGAAGATCAAATCCTGGATATGTGGTTGGGGACACCTAGTAAAAACTCGCTTGAAAGTTTGTTTAAAATGTTTATTGGACTAAAACATGAGATATAGCGAACGCGTTTCAGGGGAGAGGCCTCCCCCTTCAGGGATTATATAACAGGTTGTTGAATGATTTAAGGGGGGGGGTGTTTGCTGATTGGGGCTAAAATGAGGCATGAGCTGACCATGGTGGGGGTTGCCGGCTGTATCCGAGATCCCGTTTCCTATTCCCTACTGTGGTTACACTGGCACTTAAACCCAAATCCAGGCTGTTTAGGAAAGTCCGCCTTGATTATTCCACAGTCCAGTATATAAGCCCTGAAGAAGGGGGAGTTCCACAAACGCGTTGGCTGTATCTAACGCTCTTCTTCAATAAACTTTTAAAACAACCTTCCAGGCGAGATGTCCGTTTTTACTAGGAGCTCCCCGTCACATATCCAGGACAATGTCTGCAGAAAGAAGACTCGGGACCTGGAAGGAGACTGGGAGAATATGACAGAAATGGCGGACTGAGGGAAAATGAGGACCGTGGACCTCACAGGGCTGCAGGTGAACCCTCCGGGAGGTAAGTCTGCCAGGTGGAGGTATGCTGGGCATATGTGCACATTATGGACCCGGCAGAGTTCTCCTCTAAAGGGAAATAAAAGGTTTTTGTTGTGTTGGGTCTCCTGTTCTTCTCCTGCCGGTGATTTGAGATCTCGCTGACCTCACTGGAATGTCTTCTAGTTTGTTTCTGTCGCCTCAATACAATGTCTCTGGACAGTTCCAGAATTCCAATGATCATTTTTCTGCTCTTTTGTCTCCTTTAAAGCTCAAACAACTGGGGCACAGCGTGGACAAGGTAGAGTTCATTGTGATGGGGGGAACGTTCATGGCTCTGCCTGAGGACTACAGGGACTACTTCATCCGAAACCTACACGACTCCTTGTCTGGGCACACGTCCAACAATGTTGCCGAGGCCGTACGGTAAGATAGAACGCAGCACGAAACATTGCCGGGGGTCTTATAGGTTTTGTTTTCTTCCTTCTCCTCTCCTCATCCCTCTCCTCTCTCCTTATCTTGACCCTTCCCTTTATCTGCTCTCCTCTCCCCTCTACTCACCTCACCT